GGCGGGGCGCGGCGGGGCGCGCGGGGGCGGCGCAGTGGCGGCGCGGCAGGCGCGCTCGTCGCTGGCGTCGCCGCAGTCCGCGTGCCCGTCGCAGTAGTACTCCCACGGCACGCACGCGCCGTTGTCGCAGCGGAACATGCTGTCGCCGCACTCCAGCGTGCCTGCGCCGGGCCGGGCGTGAGCGGCGCCGGCGGCCGCGCGGCGCTTCTGCTCGCGGCTACTCACGGCAGTCGCGCTCGTCCGAGTCGTCGTCCTTGCCGCAGTCGCGCGCGCCGTCGCAGCGCCACGCGGCGGGCACGCACCGTCGCGACGCGGCGCACGCGAACTGCTCCGGCCCGCACGCTATACGTGCGCACGCGCCGCTCGTCTCGTCCGCGCCGTCCGCGCAATCTGTTCGTGTCGTACCAATCGTACTTTAAGCGCGCCCCGTGAGTCTATTCAACACGTTTCCGTTCAAATCGCTTTTGACCGTCTACCGTCTGCCGTCGCCCGACGCGACGACCGACGACGACAACGAGCTTTTTTTAGCAAAGACGAACGGGAGTACAAACGTCACTAGCGAACGGCTTTTAACTTTTGCCACATGAAGCATCATCATGTATTTATGCTGTAAGGGCCTGCGCCACGAGACCCTAACCCATAAATAATAATAATAAGGAGAGAGTGTAAAATATATATATATATATCCATGATAATAATAATACAAGCGTTTGCAACTACTTACTAAGAACAAATTTGACCTCAAATTTATTCTAAAGATATGTATGGGCTTTGACGTCTTGATTGTAGGTAGTTAAATTAGTTGTAGTTACTAATAATTAAAACTACTTATTATAGATACAGAAATTTCTGTAACAATTTATTAAAAAAATTAAAACGTAATTATGAAAAGACTCAAATATTAAATCCCGGTCACGACAAAAAACGATTATGGAAGGTCATCAAAAATATCACGAACATGACTAACTCAAAATCGTCTGCCCTGCAACTCATTGCTAATTCTGTCAATGCAGAGCAAACTGTTAACAAATTAAAAAATTATTTATTTATTTTTATCCCCAAAGAATTCGGAAATACTATAATAACTTTTGATTATTAAAAAATGTTTTAATTTATTTATAAATGTTGAATATTTTTTTTTTTGTATATAGTACAAAAATATTATCAATGTCAGTACCGTTGCCCCACAATACAATATCATAGGAGAATCCCGTATAGCAATAGGCGTAATATGCTAATAAAGTTGTTTTAAAATTTGTAACCCAGGTAAATGACCCAGGGAATAAATTAATGAAGATAATTTTTTTCCTAGTTTTTCAATGTGTGGTTTCCAGCTTAAGTTTGTACCAATTTCCATTCCCAATAGCGTCACTGAGGTCACTGTCTCTAGAAGTTCATTATTATAGCTATAGTTAATATTTAATGGAGTCTTTTGATACGGCTTGAACTGAATTAATTTAGTTTTTTTTTATATTTATTTCCAAGTTGTGTAGGTTAAGCCAATTCGTTATTTTATTTAGTGTCGAGTCCAATTTGGAATGTAATTCGTGCTCGTCTTGGCATGGTAATAATATTGAGACATCATCGGCAAAGACTATGCATTCATCATTAAGAATACTTGGAAGTGAGTTAATACAAATCAAGAAAAGCGTACATCCCAAAACATTGCCTTGTGGAATGGAACCGTTGACTGGAATTTGAATAGATCTACAATTTTTTATTTCTCCTGTGTTAAAATTTGTGTTTTTGATTTCCACAATTTGTGAGCGATTTTCCGAGTATGATCTAAACCATTTATGTGGCACTCCTCGAATGCCACTCGAATACATGATTCATGATTAACTCTGTCATATGCTTTACTCATATCGAGTAACAATCCAACTGCAAATTTTTTTGGGGTTCATACAATCTAAAATAGCTTGAAAATATTTATAAATTGCTAATATGGTTGATCGATGTTTCCTAAATCCATTTTGGCACTCGTTAAAGATATGACTTGGTAAAGACAAGATTATGAAAATCTAGTTTCGTGGTCGAAAATACTGCGCTAAATTGCCAATAATTTATATTGATACTTTTAATGTTAATACATATGTATGATTTTAAAATTTTCACCGGGGCTATCAATTTTCGATTACCACGCAGCTGTCAGGTGGGCAACAAAGAGATTTTCGGCCGTAATATTACCTATTTCATTGTATACGTTTAAATTCACCATTTCATTAATTATGAAACGCTATTACAAAAGTCCGGCGAAAATCCGCGGCCTTATGAGGCTGTAGATGAGATTTATAATTGTTTACATGAGCGAACAATACTAAAAACCCTGATGGGCTTTGTGAGTATAAATAAAACTTAGAGTATATCGCGTACGACTGACGTAAATTCTACAAGAATACTCTTTGTGTGTATCAAGTTTACCAGGCAGGCGACATATGTTGTAATATTTTTGAGAGCTATCTCACAGGTAGGTCCCAATGTGTTAGAATTGGTGACTATACTAGCGTTTCCCAACCTATGACCTTTGGGGTCCCTCAGGGAAGTATTCTGGGTCTCTTTTCCTGGTGTATATTGATGACCTTTGTAATTTACAACTTCAAAACTGTAAAATTTTCTCATATGCTGATGACACTGCACTGATATTCACCGGGATAAATTGGGATGAACTTTATCAATCCGCCCAGTCGGCCTTTGACGTGGTGAGGGAGTGGCTAGAAGACAATCTGCTCACACTTAATGTGGACAAGAGTAGAGTGGTGCCTTTTTCTATACGTAACCATACTCTACCGCAAAACTACCTTAAGTTTGCTGTTATCTCCATACAGGTGCCGGGATCTGAGGCTGTCATCATCATGAAAATGGTGTATCTTGCTCTAGTACAAAGTTTACTAACCTATTGCATTACTAGTTGGGGTGGGGCTACAAAAGGTAATTTTATTCTTATAGAAAGAGCACAAAGAGCTTTACTAAAGGAGATCATTACTCTTTCTGTCAAGTTCTAACTGTTAGACAGTTATTCGTCTGTACTCTCTGGACTGGAGTTAGTCGTCTGGACTGTTTTGAAGCAGCATTCCCTCACTCCATACGACAGCGCCTCAAATAGACGACATTGCATAGTGGCTACTTCTGACCGTCTCAGGACTGCCTTCACTCATAGATTTTTCTGTTTCCTGGGATGTTTTCTGTACAATGCACTCCATCGTGAACTAAACATCTTTCAACTAAATAAGTTCGAATGTAAAAAGAAGTTGGCAAACTGGCTGCAAATTGAATTACGATGAAACTGAAGCTTTGCTTTATCCGATTGCATGACTCAAGGACCTATTTATTTATTTATTATTGGAGCTTTGGGTAGAGTAGGATCTCTATATGTATATGTATATACATATATATATATATATCCGTAACTACGCACACGCGAGCACATACACATACACACACACATACACAAACACACACATAATACAACACGCACTCATGGTCAACAATTAATCTTAGTTAATACCTTAAGATTGTCATATTGTGTCATTTCCAAGGGTGAGAGCCTGGTGACTTGTAGTACAGGCGTTAAGCCTTTAACAAGCACCAGCTCCCAAAAATAAGTTATTGGATGTATCTTAATTACTAAGAACTATATGTACGTATTTTTATTTTATTTTATTTTATTTATTTATTTATTTATTTAGGTAACAAACAGTCACATAAGCAACAATACAAGAGACAATTATATACAAAAAGACCTATAGTACCCTAGTTTGCAGAAACAATAACAAAATTAAATTAAATAGTGCGTATGTAAGTGACGGATACAAAATACAAATATATATATATGTATATATATATCTATCTATAGACTACAATAAAAATAAAAATAATTAATAATAACAAGAACTATATACTACATAATATACTATTTAAAAATAAGTTCGCCCAATTTTTTCTTAAAACTATTTTGTGGAGGAATAAACGTTATTATTATTATTATTATTATTATTATCGTATTTATTTTAAACTCTCGCCTCTCCCAAGGCCTAAAAGACTAATTTTGAATTTTGAAATGGGAGAGGCGGTATTTCCCGGCTATGGCACAGTCGGCCGGGGTCAGGGACTCAGGTCCAAGAATCGGCGAACAATACGTAATATTATTATTATTATTATATGTCCTGAAAATCAGACTTTTGTAGGTCAACATCAACAGATTTTAAGAAGTAAGTCTTCTGTATTTTTGTTTTTTTTAAAGGGTACGTACAATTACCAGTTTCTATAGCAGAGGGGCGTGATTTCACATGCATCTCCAATAATTGCCTTTCTAGTTTGTCCAACGACTTTGGTTTTGTCGCTTCTCCGTCTTAACCTCACGAACTCCATCGATTTCTCAACGTCAGTGTCACTTTTTGGATTTGGTGACATTGACACTTTAGGTCCGAGATATCCGATACGAGCCTAGACACACGTGGACGTGCTCGTCGGACATACGGATCAATATCTGATTGTATATTCAGGCCAAACGGGGAAGCGAGCCGATACAGCCATAACAAGCGGACAGATAATTCTTCAGACTCACCCTTAAGTCCGTCGCAGATCCAGCTTTTTGGAATGCAGCGGTTTGTGTCGCACTGCATGAACTGGTCCTCGCCGCAGGTGACGTTCGCTGCAACAACAGCCACACGGTTGAACGCTAGACCCTCGGCGTCGTCGCCGGCGGCCGGCGCGGGGACGTACCGCAGGCGCCGGCGGGCGAGGAGTCCTCGTCGGAGCCGTCGGGGCAGTCGCTGTCGCCGTCGCACACGTACAGCGCGTCGATGCAGCGCCTGCGCAGGGGCAACGTTAGCGCGGCGCGGTCGCGTCCGCGGCGGGGGCGACGGCGGGCTCGGCTCACCCGCGGCCGCAGTGGAAGCGGTCGGCGGGGCAGGGCGGCGGCGTGGCGGCGGGCGCCTCGGCGCAGCTCAAGCCGTCGGCCGCCAGCGCGCGGCCGTCGGCGCAGGCGCACACGCGGCCCGCCGCGCCGCCCGCCCACAGGCACAGCTCCGCGCAGCCGCCGTTGGCGAAGGCGCAGGCGTTGCGGCCGCCGCGCGCCGCCGCCGACACCAGGCGCAGCTCGTACAGCGGCGGCGGCAGCGTCGCCAGCACGCTCACCGCGCCGTCGCGCGACAGGCGCCGCACCAGCCCCGAGCCGTGCTCGCTCCAGATCACCGCGCCTGCGCAGACGGCCGCGTCAGCCCGCGCCGGCGGGCGGCAGGGGCGGGCGGACGGCACCCACCGTCGTACAGCGCCAGCCCGTACGGCTTCAGCACGGGCGTGGCCGGCGAGTGCTCGGCGACCAGCACGCGCGCGCCCGTGGCCAGCTCCAGCCGCTCGATCTTGTCGAGGTACGTGTCGCACCAGTACAGCTGCGTAGCGTCGGCCGTCAGCGCCAGCCCGTTGGGCCAGTGCAGCCGGCCGGCGACGGCGACGCGGCGCGCGCTGCCGTCCAGACGCGCCGTCTCGATGCGGCTGCCCTCGCCGCCGCCCAGGTGGGCCCACACCGACCAGTACATGACCCTGCAACGCCGCGCCGTCAGCGCCGCCCGCCGCCCGCGTCGGCCGGCGAACGCGCACTCACCCGTTCCTGGGGTCCAGCGCGATGCTGCGCGGGTTGTAGTCCCTCTCGGCCACCAGCGTGCGCCGCACCTGGCCGGCGCCCAGCCGCGCCACGCTCACGCGGCCCAGCGCGTCGTCCGTCCAGTACACGTTGCCGCCTGCGCACGCACCGCGTCAGCGCCGCACCCCCCGGCACCCGCCCGCGCCCCCGCGCCCGCGCTCACCCATCCAGTCCACGGCGAGCCCCTCGCAGTTGTCCACGTCGCGGTCGACGAACACCTCGCGGCCCGTCCCGTTGAGCCGCTGCCGCACGATCTCGTACCTGCGGCAGATTCGACGTCACCGCGCGGTCGCGCCCCGGCCGGCCGGCCTCGCGCGATCGGGACGCACCGGTGCACGTCGCAGTAGTAGAGGTATCCGCCGGCGAGGTCGACGTCGGCGGCGGTGGGCCTCGCGGCGTCGGCCGCCGGCGCCAGCGGCTCCCAGCCCAGCCGCGCGCCTTCGCCCAGCGCCAGCCCCGCCACCAGCGGCGGCGACCCGCGGCACACCACCAGGTACTCCGACAGCTCCACGCCTGCAGGGGGGGACGGTTGAAGCGGCGGGCGCGCCGGAGCCGCGGGCGGGAGGGCGCAGGCACTCACGGACGCAGTCGCCGTGGCCGGCCAGGCGGAAGCCGTGGCGGCACAGGCAGTGCGCGTGCGGCGCCGCGCCGCGCCACGCCGTCACGCAGATGTGCGCGCAGCCGCCGCCCGACGAGCAGGGGTGGCCGCCTGCGGAGCACGAGCCGCGTCAGCGGGGCCTCCCGGGCGGGGGACCCCGCGACGCGGCGGCGACTCGCCTGCGGGCTGCGGCTGGCGCAGCGCGTGGTAGGCGAGCGCGGCGACGGGTCGTCCGCCGGCCGGCAGCGGCCACTGCACCGCGACGCGCGGCCGACTGTACCGCGACGCCAGCGTCACCGAAGAGTTGGACCACACCGGCAGGAACAGCGTCGTCTCCAGCACCGAGATCGCCTGCAGCCGCTGCGACTGCGGACCGAGAGCACCCCGTCACGACCGAACGCGAGCGGGCGAGGCGGACGAAGCGGAGGAGGACTCACGTTGTAGCCGCGACGTACGGTGAGGCGGTTGCCACCGTCGTAGTCGGCGCGCTCCACGCACTCGAGGTACGTGTCCACCCAGTACAGCACGCGCGCCGGCAGGTCGGCCGTCAACGCCGAAGGGTACACCAGCTTCAGCGCGGCCAGCGCGCGCCGGTCCTCGCCGGCCAGTGACGCGCGGCCCACCGCCGGCGCCGTGGCGCCCCACGCCGTCCAGAACATCAGCCCCGCCAAGGGGTCCAGCGCGAAGCCGTGCACTTTGCTGAGGCCGGAGTCCACCAGCAGGCGACAGCTGCGCAGCGCTCGCTCGCACACGTACAGCGCCTCGCGGCCCCCGTCCACCAGGTACCAGTTGAGCGACACCCAGTCGATGGCCAGATGCGACACGGCTGCAACAACCGCCGCGTCTGAGGCCGCCGGCCGCCGCGCGCCGAGGGTCGCCGCGGCCGGTACTCACTGGCGACGTCCGGAAAAAGCGCCGGCGTGGGCAGCAGCGTGCGACGCGAGAAGTCATCGGCGTCGGCGCATACGATGCCGCTGCGGCTCATGTTGTGGTGCACGTAGCACACCGTGCGATTGGCGAAGAGGAAGTCCACGGCGCGGACGTTCAGCGCGGGGATCGAGTGGTTGCCGGCCGGCGCGGGCGCGAATGGCCACGCGCGCCGCACCTCGGCCGTCGTCACCACAACCAGCGACAGCTGCTCCGCCGAGCCTGCGCAAGCGCACGTGGCCGGTGAGGACCGCCCGGCCCCGGCCGCGGCCCCGACGGCCCCCGGCGGCCACCTACCGTCGGCGGCGGCGCAGGAGCGGCGGTCGGCGCGCAGCGAGTACCCGTCGGCGCACGCGCACTCGAAGGAGCCGGGCGTGTTGCGGCAGCGCTGCGCGCACGAGTCCTCGCGCAGGCACTCGTCGCTATCTGCGGAACGGAAGCGCGCGTCGGTGTCGGCCGGACCCCAGCGGCGCCCCAGCGGGCCCCCGGCGGGCCCCCAGCAGGCGCGCGGCCGAACGGGCCTCACCGACGCATTTCCCGTGCAGCGGCTCGTAGCCGCGCGCGCAGTAGCACGCCGGCCCGCCGTGCGTCGGCCGGCAGCCCTCCTCGCAGCCCAGCCCCGCGCACTGCGCCGCGGTGACTGCGCAACGAACGGCACCCGGTCAGTCGTCTCAGACACGCTAAGGTATGCGAGCTACGCAAATCAAACTTGACACGCTCAAACTGTCTGAAAGCTGTCTGAAACTCTGTCCGAAAGCAAATCCAATAATTCTGTGAATTCCTACAAAAATTTGAACTCGACTGTTTATTCAAAAAAGTACAGAATTTAATATTTAGGTTTTGTTTCATTTTTTTTTAAGTGACGTGATAACGCGTGATGATTCGCTTGAGCGAATGACGGGACGAACAAGCGTGCGCCTGATGGTAAGTACACGCCTGTCCATAACAAATGCAGTGCCATTCAGAGCTTTAAATCGCAAAGATTTGATTGTTGACATTGTCGCTACGCCCGTCACCCTGAGACGTAAGTTGACAAGTCTCATGTGCTTGTAATTTCACCAGCACCCTTACCCTTCAAAAGCGAAACGCAGTAAGCTCCGAGCTCTATTACACTAACTCTAAAGTAGAACTTTAATGTTTTCGACCCAGCTCGGAAACGCAAAAAAATACCTTTCTACAGCTTTTTCTTTTGTAATGACACTTTTGTACACAATATCTAGGCAACGCGTACAAGTAGAATATTTTGGGACTAATTCATACACCGCCTAAAGGAGACCGGAATTGTACAGAACTCGACACGGGTGTCGTTGTCTTCAAGATACGATAGGAGACGGTTGTTGAGTACACGCTCTATAGTCTTGCAGAGTATGGAAGTGACTGAGATAGGTCTATAGTTGACAGAGTCAGCTCTGCTTCCTTTTTTGGGCACAGGTTGTACATTTGCAAGCTTCTACGACCTGGGAGCTACACCAGTCTCAAGTGAGAGACGATATAAGTTATAATTTCAAATTGTGAACTAAACAATAACAATGAAAAGGGTTCGTTACAGTTGTCGCAGATGTCCCACTCGTCGCTGCCGTCGAGGCAGTCGCGCGCGCCGTCGCAGAAGGCCGCGATGGGCGCGCACGCGAACTGGCCGTCCACTGGCGTGGCGCACCGCGCTTCGTTGCCCCAGCACTTGAAGTCCTTCTCGCCTGTGGACAACTCGAGCGATCACTTGCGGCACGTCGCCGGCTGCACGAAACGCAACGTCTAAATCTAGAGAAACTACACGTACACATATAGGGATCCTCATCGGAAGCGTCTCCGGGTCCGCAGTCGGGGTCGCCATCGCAGCGCCAGCCGCCCGCGATGCACAGGCCGCTGCGCGCGCAGCGGAACTGCCCCGCGCCACACGTACTGTTCCACGCTGCAATAATTATTATTCATATAACAATACGTACAACGCAGCTACTCCGCGTCCCATAGGCGTGCTCTTACTGCAATCGCGCTCGTCAGACGCGTCGGCGCAATGGATGCGTGCGTCGCAGCGCCACACGGCCGAGATGCAGCGCGTCCCGTCCGCGCACGCCCATTCGTCACCGCCGCACGCGCCGGTCGCGCCGCCCGCGGCCGTGGCGTTTCCCGCCGCCGCCTCGCCCGGTACATCTGCACCGAAAGAGAAGAGGAATAGAGGCTTATATTGGTTATGTATACCCATATATCTACATTATTTCACTCAGTTGTGGTCCCATTTAACTTTGAAGAAAACATTCCACCTCCAAGCCTGGCATACTGAGGGATGAATGACGTTTGAGATCGGTATTTTTAGTACTCTGTACTGTTTTTATTAAATTATTTTTTCGTGTACGAATGAGGAAAACTGATTTGTTATAGTTCAATTGTTTTTCTTTCATCTACCATTTTCCTAACTATAGTGAGGTGAAACGTTGTGTGTTTCGCTCGGCAGCAAAGCTGTTTTGCGTCTCGTGGCTTGAAACTCTTGCTACGCTCAGGATTCTATTTTTGAACCACTCGCTTCGTGGTTCATTCTTCGATTTGGTCACTTCCTCAGGTTTCTATGACTTACATGTTTAGTTATAAGTACTGTAAGTGTAAGTTGTACAAAATAAATAAATAAATACATGAATTAAAAAGGACCTTCACCACAAGGACACTCTTAAAATCCTTTGAGTTTCTAAGGACGAACCCCAAACGCCGAAGACTCCTGGCAAGAGGTGCTATGTGATCATGAAACGTTAACTTCTGATCGAAAATGACACCCAAGTCTTTCACAGTGATCAATTGAATATGCTATATCCATTATATATATGTATAAAGCTACAAGTTTAGACTCACTGATAGAAATAGAACGCATACTTCCTGATATGGTTGAAAGAAGATATTTATACCGTTGTAAGCGGATAGGTTCCAAAGTAAACAATCAAATATGAGATGACCTGAATGCGGAGAATATGAAATTGTGATCAACAGCCTGCAAAAACTATAATTATGGAGGGGATATTGTGCACTTATTTAGAGGTACACCCTGGGCAATTTCCGCCGAATGTAAAAAATATTCGAAATTCAAATAAACAAAATGGTCGCCATACAAATTTCAAGGTCTTCTATAACGGAAACTATTAGAGATAGGTACGAGGTGATCGAAGGAATGCCATAGAGGGTAACAGTGGTCAACTGCGTGTGTCAAAAAATCAAGATGGCGAATTCAAAATGACGGCCGAATAAAAACTTGCTTCGATCCGGTTGAAAATTGGTATGTGAGGGTCTTTAGAAGTTCTTAATCATAATTTAGGGTCAAAAGTTTCTTTTCGCCATTTTTTAATATGGCTGCCATATAAGCGTTTGTTTTCGTTTAAAATAGCTGCCGAAAGAGTCTTTCTTTGTTTCGGCTGAAAATTGGCAGTTGGAGACCTCTAGAAGTGCCGGATTGGTACTAGAAATTGGTTTGGAAAATCGGTATGTAGGGGTCTCTATACGAGTTTGATAATAATTTACGGTCAAAATTTATTTTTCGCCTTTTTTTCAATATGGCTGCCATATAAACTTTTTTGGCGGCAGATATTTTTTCCTAATTCAACTGAAAATGGCGCATGGCTTCAAACATAATTTCGGGTAAAAATTTTGTTTCCGCCGATTTTCGACATAGGTAACCGTAATTTTTTATGTAAATGGCTGTTGAAAAAACTTGCTTTGCTTGGATTGAAAATTGACACGAAAAGATTTCTAAGATTGTTTAATAAATATTAGTGGTAAAAAATATGGAAATTTTTAAATATGGCCGCCATTCAAGAGTTATTTCAAATTTTTTTAAACCAAGTGATAAGTGCCGAGGCCGTAGGCCGAGGTCCGCGGAGGGCGAACCCCGAAGCGTCCACACGCTATCGCGATGTAGATGATATACGGGGGTGTAATAGATTACGAGTATAAGATCTCCCAATTGTAAAAATGTAAGGCATACTTCCCGATGTAGTGGTAATGAGATACTTATTATAGCGTTGTTGTATCTCGACCGTCTCTCTGTTAGATTTCATTTTCTTGAAAGCTATGCCAAAGAGAAGTATTTAGGGGGAAAAAATGCCAAACTACTGCCGAATTTCCTGTACTATGAATACCGAAACAACGATAGCCCAGAATATTCAGATCAAAATCTTAAATAAACTAAACCTTAAATTGACGCAAATCGGGAATCAAACTCCTCATCAAGCGCTCGTAGTAGCTACTATCTGCTGTGCCATCGAAGAGCTTGAGCACACCACGTAAACTGAACCCGACCACGCGCTGCAGGCCGCACTAGGTTCCTTCGCGTTTGGATACCACTTTCCACTTAACATCAGGTGGAGTGGAGTCATTTGCCTGTCATGTATAAAAAAAAAAAAAAAAAAAAAAGGCCGAGGTCGACTCGCTACCGATAGGTGGGGTACTGAACTCGTTTATATTATAGCCATAAGTTATTTGATCGACGTCACGTCACGGTGGTGACGTCGATACCGGTTATCCGGCAAGCGCCTAGGCCGGATAGACGGATATCCGGCCGCCGAATATCTGACACACTGCCTGCCGTAAACATGTCGTGACCAGTTTACACCGAGCATAGCCGTGATTGATTGATTAGTGACGATTTTATTTCTTGTGGTCACTTGGTTTTTATAAAACGATTAATTTATTCGATAATACAAACAAATACGTAACAGAAGAATGCTAACAATGAAAAAAATCGCAACGTGACTTG